AGGCACCTTCCATTTTGAAGGAGATGATATTTGAACTAGATGTCATCAAGGAGAATCCTCTTCTTCCAAAGGAAGAAGTGGACAGTGGGTGAGCCAGTTGCCACAGGCCCACCATGAGCAAGTTGGGTCTGTGGCAGTGCTGTTTGTACGAAATGATCCAGGTCAGCTCAACACCTCCCACCTGGGATAACTGCACAAGCATACTTGCAACCATCTGTGCAGCAGAGATCATGTAGAGTACAGAGATCAGTAGCTCAGTGTGATAACATGTCTGAGACTCACAGCAACCGGAAGAAGGGTAGAGACAGAGAAGGTGAGAAGCACACTCACACTCCAGTTACTGACATGCTGAGGGTTTGAATGAGCAGGTACTGTTGGAAAGACTGTCGTTGGTGGCAGGGGTTCTGGAGAGACAGCCGAGCAGCTAAGAGCGGGCGCTGCCCTTGAAGAGGATCATAGTAAGTGAAGTTCACCTCTGTCTGTAACTGTAGCTCCCAGGAATCTGAAGCCCTCCCCCGGCCTTCAAAGAAATGCACTCATACTTCTCCATCCCACTTACACTCCCACATGATTGCAAATAATACATACATTTATGTATATATGTATGTATGCATGTATATATGTATTTCTTTAAGAACTAGGGAAAAGGATACCTTCCCCGTCTACAGCACCTGTTTGTTTGTATCGATGGAGTTGTTTCACATGCCTGAGCGTTTACCATATTCCAGGTGTCATGTGCATTTTATAGGCTTTAGCCCATAACCTTATCCACACCCTGCATGTCCTGACCTGCAGGAGGGGATGCAGCAGGATTGAGGAGCTGATTCATCATGTCCTTTCTCATGGGGAGCATTCATTGTGTGCACATTACAGAAGGCCATGGGTGACTGCACAAGGAAGGCATCAAATGTCTGATGAGTAATGGTTTCTTGAATGAGAGTGTTTAAAAAATTCCCAGAAAGTTTGACAATGCAAACAACAAGATGTCTGGGCAGGAGACAGAGGAGGCAAAGGTCCCCACTTTCAAACCTAAGTGACTGGAAGTACATCATGGACACAGGAGCTGTGGGAACCTCATCTGACAGGTTAGCAGAAATGCATTTCTCTTTTTTACACGGCGCAGAGTGTCATCAGGGCTTTCTCGGAACTGAGCATGAACTATAAGTTCCATAGACAGCAAGTCTATGTTGTTTAAGGAGGTTTGAAGGGCGCAGAAGGACAGGACATTTTACTCCAGGAAGTTACAGCAATGGCTTGGCCAGACTGAAATCAGGTGCCAGGCATCACCTTGGGAGTGAAAATGTGTATGGGTGGTGTGCACCCATGAGAGAGATCCAGTACTGGAACCTAGCCAACTATCAAGAGCTACCGAGGTCAGGGATCTTGGAGGAGAAATCTAAAACCACTTTACTAAACCAGCCAAATCCCTATCAACAATCTATACATTTGTCCTTATACCTGTAGATAAGCATAATCCTCACCTCTTATCAACAAAACTTCCCTTTGCAACAGAAAAACACAGCCAATCAAAAAGCAGGGTTGTGGTGAGCAGACCCAAGGGGATACATCTACAAAACAACTCCCTCACCTAAGGCCAGGGGACATTATAAAAGAGGGGATGAAAGATTGTAAGAGCCAGAGGAGTTAACAGTGAGGCTGTGTCTCTCTGTCAGAAGCTACACCCATTAAGTCTCACCAACATGACTATCTAAACATGAGCTGAACAAGGACTACAGACATAGTAAAGTGGAGGGGGGGGGGCAGCAAGGAGGAGCCCATCAGGCTTCAAACCTACACAAAATACTACAGGCCACTAAGAAACTCTGAGAGTAAAAAAAAAGTGTCTTGCCCATGGAAGAGCATACCAATTGGTGAACCCTGCAAAATACAAACAAAACATTATACATTATACAGACTGAGTAGGTTATATGTAACCAATAACAATAAAAAAAAAAATAAAAAATTAGGCCAAGGGTTTGAAAGAGAGCAAGGACGGCTACATGGGAGAATTTGGTTGGAGGAAAAGGAAGGGGAATATTGTATTATAAATCTCATAAAGTATTTTTAAAAAGCTCATGTTAAGATGAGAAATTTAAACAAGAAAACCATACCAGTAGAAAAAGGTTATAGAGAAACCAAAATAAAACTTCACTGAACCTTCCTGAAAGGCTGAGGCAGGAGGATCAAAAATTTGAAGCTAGGCTAGGGCTACATGACATCCCGTCCTAAAAAGAAAAAAAGAAATAGTGAGCTCAGGGTCAACAGAGTGCCATCGGTTTTCTCCTAGTGAAGATGCAGTCATATGCATTTCTCTGAAAAATCCCTATAATTTTGCTTCCCGATACAATAGTGGCTGATTAGGAAGCATTCTTCCCTTTTTTGTCTTCTCAAGACTTCTGATGCTGATTCCTGTGATGATTCCCCTAAGTATTGTCTGAATCAGCGTCAGTTCTCAGATGTACTTGGTGCAATTCTGCAAAAAGTCTTCATGAATTAACTCATCCTTGCCTGCAGTCCTTTTGAGCGGTCTTCCCCATCTCAACACAAGGCAGAGAGGTTAACTGACACCTCAAAGGTCATACCCAGTAAGGATAGTGATGGGATGTGTGTCGGGGAATTCCCTCTGGAGCCCGTGTGCTGCGGATTGCTGTGTTGACTAAAAGGAACTATAAACGTCCAGCAATCCATTGCTAATGTCTGTGTCAGGACAGGTAGGAGAGCAGCTGAGGAAGGTCCTTCCAGGTAAAGTTTTAATCAATCATATAAGAAGTGGCTATTCTTCCGTCAATCTGCACGAAGCTGGTATATCCATAGAATGACAAAATGGGCACTCCTGTACATATGCTTCAATAATATTTGTAGATGTGTTTTGGGCAACTGCACATATGAGAGTTAGTCATCAGTTGATCATTATGAAGATACGCACTCTCAAATGGCATATGTCAACTCAAAATAGCCTCCATTGTCCCATTTTCTTAATTGATTATTATTGGTACAAAAGGGGCTGTATATATGACAAATTTAAAATCACTTATCATTATTGGGGTAACATTAGATAGGCCATTTTGTATTCTTAACCCTACCCCCCTTTTAAAATTCATCTATGTAAGTGAAATAAACTATATCCTCCCCAAGATGTTTTTGAACATGGCGCTTCAACACAGCAGGAGTAACCACACATATTTTTCTTCTAATTCAAGTGTCTCTACACATACTAGGTAACTCTAAAATTATCTTCCATCTTAAGATGTCAAAAGTAAATAACAGAGAGTATGCAAGTTACCCAATGCCAGAGTACAGTGATAATATCAAGTGTGGTGGAAACCATGCACTCGGTAGCTCTGTAAATCCAGTTAATTCTACAATCTTAGGAACAGCAGCTGGGAAAGGGAAGCCAGTTCCCTATATTATAACTGCTCACACGCATGTGAGACCCAAGAGCAATAAACCCACCTAGCGGCTTATAGTTGCTTAGTTTACATGGATACAAGCACACAATCATTTTGTACATAATTTATTAAAAATAACTGAGAAATATTTTTGACTGAATAAGAATGACTCTACATAGTTGGTGTTCCAAATTTTTCCAAATGTTTGCTCTGGAAAATAACTGTTATAAGCCAACCTGGTGGATTCAAGACAGATAAACCATGAGCAAGCACACGCATCGGAATTGCACCTAGAATATCCGTGCATCTAGTGTAAGTGCCAAACTCACTGAAGGAAGTGCGACCTCTGTTCTAGAATTTGGTTGGCTATGAAGTTTACTCATGTAATTCTTAAATTTTTTTTAAATTATTTGGCCCATTTCTAAATTTGTAAAAATTGTAACTACAAACTATTTTTTAAAATAATTTTACAATCACGTAATTATGACTAGCTATATATATCTAAAAAGTTAGAACAACATTATCCCAGATATTGTTTGAGATCTTAAGCTGAGCTTCAAACACCATCAATATTTCCCAGGTCCACTGTCCCTGAATTAAAGACAGAGATCATAAATGTGCTATTCTTCACTAGATAGCCACATTCCACTTCTAACTACATTGTTGTTTCTGTTGTAAAGATAATTGCTTCTAATAGATCACGAAAGAGTCCTAAAGTTTCAATGGAAAAATTAAAAGTTCTTCACTAAGGACAGAAATGAAGCAATAAGTTGTTATTACGTAGACCTTAAGAAAACCGACAATGCAAATGTTTACATACCGCAGAAAGACTAATTTGTGAGAAGAGACAACTTTTAAGAATTTTTTTGAATTCTTCAACCCAAGTATAAGTTTCAAAATCAGATAGGAGAGAAAGACAAAAAGAAATGGAGAGGGGATGATGTTGTAACCATTTGGCATTTCACAGAAAAAAAAAAAAAACTTGGAAGAGTAACAAAAATACATTTTAAAGAAGTTTTGAAATACAAATTTAGCTGATGAAGTCAGTACAAAGGAGATATAGATTCAGTGTAGGATTTCACCCAGAATAGAATGTAAAAGCAATCCCCACTGGCATGGGACTGCAAACACCCTCAGTGGCAGCCTGGCAATCTACCTTAGCACTGTGTAGCCAGGCCTCGTTACAAGAATATAACAAATGCAAGACACAGTATATACAGTTTAGAATGTTTGTGAAAACAACAGTTTCCAAGCACCATATGAACAATCAATTAATCCAGTAACTGAAGATAACCATTTCTACAGTCTCCAATTGGTTTATAGGTTAAGTTGTCCATAAATAGACCCAGATCCATTAAATTTATTGCACTATAAGTAGGCTGATGTCACTATGCCTAATGTAAACAATAATGCAAATTTCCTTAAAAAAAAAAAAAAGTACTTAAAACCCATGCAGAATGGTTTTCAAGTTCAAGAGTACAAATGCACCAAGTTTCTCTGTAAATGTGCATTTCCGAGGAGATTCTGCAGACCAAGGTAAGCTGTGGGAGAGCTCCAACTATAACATCTTTGTTTTTTCCTTTTTTAATCCTGGATTATATTCAAAATCGAGAGGGACCAGTAAAAAAAAAAAAAATCCATTAGTTTTGTTACCCTGTTAGAAGTTCTTCACCTCTTTGCACATATTTCTGCTAATGTCCTAAATTTAGGTTCCAACTGGTTCAAAAACTCAAGCCCATCTTCTTCCTGTTGGTCACTACAGCAACCCACGGAGCCAGCAGGTGAGCCTCTTCCTTCATAGTTGTAAGAGACGACATAGTCTTGAGCGAGATTTTGATTGCCATCCTCATGGCACAACTGCACCTTCTGTCGGGGAGAAAGCACAAAATATTTTATTTTTATTATTTTAAGCACCAAAATGTATTTACAGAAAAAGAATTGCTTTGATTTACCTTTCACTGTTTAATTTTTTATCAGAGTGTGTCCTCTAATGGTTTCCTATGTGTAGAAAATGCACATGATTGGTCTGTATCATAAAATCACACCATAAAGTCAGTATTAGCATGCTTGTATAAGTTCGGAGTGGTGCTAAGTACCCAAGTGTTCATTTTAAGTGGCCATTGCTTCCCTCTTTCTAAATAATGAGCAAAGTGAAAACACACTCAGTAAACAGGACCCAAATTGATGTGAGCGCCATTCTTTCTGAAGAGCAAAGTGATGGCACATAATGGTATTGGCTTGGGCTAGACTTTGAGTTACTAAAACAAAATTTGTCAGATGCAAAATCGTACCACAAAATTATTTCCTTAAATAGTAATAAAGGCTACTGGGCAGTGATAGTGCACGCCTTTAATCCCAGCACTCAGGAGGCAGAGAAGGCAGATCTGAGTTTAATGCCAGCCTGATCTACAGAGCAAGTTCCAGGACAACCAGGGCAACACAGAGAAATCATGTCTCAAAACACCAAAGCGTAACAACAAAAAGAGTAACAAAATTAAATAAAATATACAGGAAAGTGAATGACCACATTAATCTGAACATAATTAAACCCGAATTAATTACAAACAGTAACTTTCCACTAGGCAGAATCACTAAAATAGGCCAATAGGCACCATTCACTAAAAGTAGCAGTCTACACAAACACTAAGTTGGAGCCTTTTGTAACATTTAAATTACATCACCATCACCGTAAGTTTGGAGAACAGCTGAGAAACTCACTTCACCGAGTCGGGGCTGAGTGAAATTGTGCCACTCGGAGTAAGTGTATCTGTAGTTGTCCACCTCCACGTGTCCTCCTCTGCAGGGGTCCAGGGTGTGGTGGTGACAGCCAGCCCCACAGGACTCCAAGGTCTGGTGCCCTCCTTTCACCATCTCAATGGTCTCTTGCCCTCCACCTTTGACTCCTGCTCCCAAGGTGCCAAAGGCTGCCTGCCCAGAAGCTCCCACGGTTTGGGCTGTGAAACCATTTGTGGAATACTGAAAAGATAATGGCATGCATCAGTTAAATGTAGAGAGGAGGAAAAGACAGTAAGAGGAATAGCAGGTGCAGAAGACACCTGGGCTTTAGGGCAGCTTTACGAGGGAGTCTTTCCAAAGACACGGACTGGATCAGTTCTTTCCATCTGTCCTTTTACCCCTGAGTACTTCTAGTGTGTGCCCAGGACTAGATGTCATATCTAGCACAAGAAACAAACTACAGGTGCAGATCAAAAAGCCTCCTGAGCTTGCTGGACACTCCTCAGCATGTTGGACATGTTCCGTTATGGACTTCCAAATGCCTTGGAAGCAGCATTCCTGTGTCACAGGGATTTGCTTTCTCAGCTAACCCCATTCCCGTTTATCCGGCAAGAGAAGATGAAGAAATAATGACAAGCTTTCTCAGACAACAGTGACCTCAGTTCCTTCCAAGTCAAATACAAAGAAAAGTTGACTATAAACATGTAATCCTTGCAGTCTACATGAATCAAACAATAAACCAAGAAGGAAAATACCAGAAATGCACACTGGCCTCTCCTATTCAAGGTTGTGTGCTTACACTCTGAAATATATTTTTCCCCCAATGTCTTTTTCTCAGATGTGGTCTGGTGTTATTTGTTTGTTTGTGCTTCTAGATCTTTCCTGCTTTGGCCATCAATGTGCTTTTTGGAAAATATTTACTTGTTTTTCCTTCACATATTGGGCTAGGGAATCAGAGCCATTGGGCAGTCCCTTGTTTGTGTGCTACTTCAGACTACCTGCCTCAGGCTCATTGCAAAACCACATTACAGGCAGGAAGACTCCCATAAACCTTTTCCCACCATCATCAAAGTCTGTAGAGATTTTATTGCTAGCGCCAGGTTTAAAAAAAAAACACAATCATACTTATGATCTGTGAGTAATTAAATAAAATATTTTAACATATTAAATAGCAGTTTAGATAGATTACAAAAAAAAAAAAAAAAAAAAAAAAAAAACTTACAGGCCTAACATTGAAGCCTTGAGACACATGTAACAGAAAAAAAAAACGCGTACTAAAAGATTTTTTTAATATTAAGAAGCACTACATGGCCAAATTGAAATGCCACACATCTGTGGGAACCATGTGCATTGTATTGATTCCCGGGGATGGATGACATTTGCTGCTAAGTTGCCAGACACCAAAAGAAATTTGTTTAGGGGGAAAAAAATACTGGTTTTAGAAGGAACATGTAATATACATAATACAGACTAAATCATCCTCTGTACTTGGTTTCAAAAAGACAGGTGGGTGACTTACAACTTTGTCATCTCCAGGAGCCTCCGTGTTTGATACAATTAGGTTCTGCTGCGCTAAGTCATCAGGAAGAACTTTCTGATGTTTTGTTGCCTGGGAAACACTACAGACTAATGTAAACAGGATACCTGGAGAAAGAAAGAAAGGGGCTCCCTTAGGTCTCTCATCCATAATGTGAAACTGTGTTTACAGTGTCTGACATGAATAAATCATACATCAAAGGGTGGGTGTCAAACACCTTTCAAGAACATATGATTGCCTGTGTCAAAGTATGTGTGCCCTTAGCAGATATGCTTCAAACACTTATCACATATGTGTCTAAAGTGAACTGTATATTTATGAGAAATCACAAAGTACACCAGCTGGTGAGTTAATTCAGGAGGAAAAGGTGTATGCCACCAAAACAGATGACCTATGTTCCCTTCCAGAGTCCCACGGTGGAAGGAGAGATCAGACTCCTGAAAATTGTTCTCTGACCTTCACACAGGGCACATTCCCATCAAAATAAGATAGATAAATATTAAAAAATTCGAAATACTCATGCTAACTATATTTGTTAAACAGAAATACGTCTATGCCCAAACCACCGCCTATAAGTATTAACATTCATTCTAAGAATGTCTTAAAATTTTTGGGGATAGACTCAAGAAAAGACTTACAAAACAGCAAGGCTATGCCCAACAGTATAGCAAGAATAGCCCACGGTCCAAGTCTCATGCCTACATAGCCGGTCCTTTCTCCTGAGCGGACTGTGCAGTCACTTTCAGTAATGCAGTCACAAATGATGACATTCAGCGAAGTGACTGAGGACAGACCAAGCCTGTCTGTAACTCGGATGGGAACTACGTAGGATCCAAATGAAGGGTCGTTCTGATAGGAAAGACGAGCTGCTGTATCTGAATAAAAAAATAAAACCAGCTGTTACAAAAGCCACCAACATCTCTTCAGCAAAAAGGCCAGTTACGAAACAGCTACCCACTTCCCTACAAACTGACACTTGAGGATTAATATAATTGCTACCATCCTGAAGCTGTTGCTGATCTGAAGCCTCTGATCCAGAGCTACTGCAAACACACTGCGGTTACAGTTAGTCAAAAGCTGCTGTCAATGGGTAATCTCCACAGCCAACCTGACAAGAATTGAAACTCACATAGGAGACACACTTGTAGGCACGCCTCTGAGGGCATTCCGGGACACGTTTAAGTGATAAGGGAAGACCCACACTGAAAGCGGGTGGCACCATGCTATGGGCTTGGGTCCTGAACTTTAAAAAAAAAACTAAGGAGGAAAAGACTACAATATCAGCATCTAGCCTTGCTGCTTCCTGACTGTGGTTGGAATGTGAGCAGCTGCCTCGAGCCGCTGCAGCCATCCATGCCTTCTCCGCCATGGTGACTGAACCCTCAAACCACGAGCCAGAATAAACCTTCCCTTCCTCAAGCTCCCTCTACCCTCTCTTTTGTCACAGCACTGAGGCAACTAACTGACACCACCGCCTCTTTATTACAGTCCTTTAGCTCTTGTAACAAAGTATTTTATCCATCCATAAGCAAGTCCTTCCTACCATATCCAGTAGACGTGATGAGAGGTTAGCTTTTGTCCTACCTTTAATATAGTCAATTAACCCATTACGATAGATTTCTATTCATGTGTGACTCATCAAGGAGTTAGAGACCTGAAATCTTGGTGCCTCTCATTTGTTTTCATAAATTGTGCCAAATGGACATGGATACTTGGTTTATCAACAAGAACCGGCTCTGACAACTTGGAATACATTTACTTCATGGGCAGGTCATGAACACACCACATCACAGGAACATAAGCACACTCAAGTCTAGAGGACACTGGGACCAACTTAAGTTTTGCTGCTCTTTTGTTTTGATGGATTTTTTTTTTTTTTAGATCAAAAGCAGGAAATATCCAGATCAAATGCTGGTAGGATTTCAGGTAAGAATATGATTCTCACTGTAGACTGCCACAAGCCACAGAATAATCGCTCTGTTCCTTAACTTCCCAGGGTGGCCTGCTCATTTTCTGTATAGTGTTGAAGTCCCCAATGTGAATGTGGCTTCATAGGACAAGAAACCACAAATCTGGAATTTCAATAGAATCCACAGTTATTAATTCAGTGTATTGTATAAGACACAGTCATGAGCCAAAACACTGAACTAAGAGTGAGCTATGTTCTATTTCTTTCATTATCTTGTTTACTTATAGAAATAATCTAGTCTTACACATGAGTAAACTAATGCTCCCAGAGAATAAATACCGTGGTCAGATTTATGTGACAACTACTGGACCGGCATTTGATATGAAGCCCATGTAACACCAAGACCTCTATTGGGAACATTCTCCTTACCCTGGCATTTCTCAACCTTTCATGTACTTTCAAGAATGGGTATTTTTAAAATAACAAAATTCTGGCACTGGGTTACAGCTCAGTGGGAGAACACACGCCCACCAAGTGCAAAAACCTTAGGGCAGTTCTTATGCCACAGAGACAAAATAACACATGGGCGCTGACTAGACCATTGCTGCCAAAAATGTTAGCAAGGAGAAATTTTTGATTTTCTCTTAAAGCCACTTAAACTAAAACACTCTGACCCCAAACAAGTAGGGAGGACAAAATCCAAGAATACAGCTATTTTTTATTAAGAAGAACAAATAAAATTTCTCTCCTCAGTCAGGCAGTGGTGTCGCACATCTTTAATCCCAGTACTCAGGACACAGAGACAGAGGCAGGCGGATCTCTGTGAGTTCGAGGCCAGCCTGGTCTACAAAGCTACATAGAAAACCCCTGTCTCAAAAAAAAAAAAAAAAAAACAAAAACAAAACAAACAAACAAACAAAAAAACCAAAGAAATCTTTCTCCTCTTCCTCAAGACACACAAGTGAATATTGTTTTTAAAATGTGTAAATCTTGTCAGTCTACAGATTGTGCCTTGGCTTGCTAAGCTGTGCCCTGGCTTGCTAAGCTGTGCCCTGGCTTTCCTTTCCTCATCCCAGGCTCTGCTTGCATTTTGATGTTGTTGTTGTTAGCTTTCGTTTGTCATAGCAGCACATTGAGACATGACCACTGAGAGCTGGGCTTTAAAACATTTGGTGTTTTCAAGTTTCAAGTCACCCAAAGGTGACTGAGGTTCTTAAGTTAAGAAAGCCATGAGGCCATGACCTCAGGTCCATGGCAGCATGTATAGGAGACAGGAATTAAGTTCTGGTGTTGGTGTGATGCATGAGGCAGCGAAGAAAAGCCACTTTAACTTCAGCCATTCCTGTACCATCACTCCCTTCTGGGATACATCACTCCCTTCTGGGCTATGGGTCAACGGGGAACCAAAGCAAGGAAGATTCTCCCCACCAAAAAAGAAAACAAAACACCCTAGACAAAGCAGTGACATGTTAACATGGTGGTAGTGCAAAGCAGTGGAGTGGTGAACACCATCAGAGACACAGATACCCTGCAAGGAGGAGCTCACTGACCCAGCTGCTTATAAAACATCATGCAGATGAGAGCTTGGATACAAATGCAAATCTAGGGAATATATAAGGGGATCCTGCTGTCATCACCAGCAAACAGTGGAGTGGATGTCATACAATGAATTTTTCTCTTCTTTCCAGAGAGTGCGAGAGAGACAGACAGACAGACAGACAGAGAGAGAGAGAGAGAGAGAGAGAGAGAGAGAGAGAGAGAGAGAGAGAGAGCAGCCTGGTGTTGAAAAGGGAAAGGCAATGTTTGAAGTCACACACCATTAATCCTCACGAGCCTCCACATCCTCCGGACTTCCGAATCAGAACTCTCCAAGCTAAAATCAAATGGCGGGCCATTCACTGGCTCATCGGGATCAACTGCAACAATCTCAGCAGAGGACCTGGTGGCCTTACATATCACCACTGTCTGCCTGGGTATGAATGGGCCATTGTCGTTCACATCTTCAAGTATGATTCCCAGAGTTCCGGTACAGCTTCTCCCATCTAGATACAGAGCAACAAGAACACATTTTTTTTTAATGCCTTTATTTTTGGCTAGAAAATCACACACTGAAAATTAATATCTATATTTATTAATCACAAAATGCATAAGTTACAGCAACAAGTTCTGCTATGAGTGATGACACAGAGAATACCAAAAGAAAAGTCATACTGCTTCCGAGTGGATTATACATATAACAACTGCTACTGAGATATTTCCATCCATTCACTAGCATTACGTTAGCCATGGAAAATTCTAGACAGAGAAGTTTTAGTTGATTTTGAAGAGACAAAGAGAGAGTAGGGTAGGGTCACACAGTACTCTCAAGTACAGGTCAACTCAAGGGTATGGACAGCATGTCACACATACCTATGAAGTGGAGAAGAGGGAGAAGGTGGCAGGTGGGAGCTGACACAGACAAGAGCTAAGGACCTTTGAAGGCTAGAGAAGCAAACTTAGAGTTCAGCACACACAATGACAATGCTTAAGGTTTTAGAACAGGGAAGTTGGATTGCACAAGATCTGTATTTGGAAAATTCAAACAGAAAATGCTTCCAGGAGATGGATCAAGGGTGGAGGAAGATTTCCAAATGCAGAAATCATCATTATGGGTGTAGTCTCATAAATAGCCTGTCATCTATATATTAAGTAAACGGAACTTAGGATTGAGGGTGTGCCTTGTGTAACTGAACTGTCATTCATACATATATACATCTTCCTGATAACTCTATACAAGGCACTGTATTGGGAAGTCTGGGACATCCAAAGATGAAGCAATTAAGAGTTCAGGGAGGTTATGAAGTCTAAAGTGAAACACAAAACTAGGTTCTTTCTACCATTCAGGAGGATTTGGATGCTAGAGATGAAAGAAAAGGAAAAACGAACATTGTACCACCCGGTGCCTGGGGCCCATACAGCTGCCAACCTCAGGAAATGGAAACCAGGCTTGCCTAGCAACCAGAGCCTTAGCCAAGGCCCTTCTGGCACAGTGGCTGGATCTTGGTTATTCTAGAGCAGGCTCATGGTCTGGGCGCCTCATACCACCAGGTTAAGAACTGATTCTGAACCGCAAACCACAGAGATGGATGTGCAGGTCACTACAGAACTGCCTGCCAGTTAAGGTAGAGTGAAGTAGGAGGAGAAAAATCAGAGGCAAAGCATAGCAGAATACCCCACCAAGGCTAGGATGGGTCCCACATGAGCAACATTAATGTAAACAACAAAGTCACCAGTTGGAAGATCAATTCACTCTACTTGAGCACATTTTAGATCTTCAAGGACATGAAGAAGGCAATGTATTAAACAGAAATGATCAAATCTATGAAGAAACCAAACAGCAGAAACCATCTAGTACATATTATAGAAGAGAAAGGAACAGTGAAGGAACAAAATTGTAGGAGATTCTCTGCCAAGAATATCTGAGTTAATTCAGAGACAGTTGTAACACTTAAGCCATTTTTAAAATCACTTATACAATTTAATTTTGGAAGTTAGAGAATAATGAGTTATGTTTATTTAATTGCATGCTCACTTTACAAATACACAAAGTTCAATTACACCTTTTTCTCCCCCAAAGTTTTTTCTTTTGTTGTTTGTTTGTTTGTTTGTTTGCTTTGGAAACAGTGTAACTCAAGAAGGCCTCCAACACCCAAGTATACCATTGTCAACATGTACCATTCCCAAACAAAACTACATTTTACACACTACATGGGTTTTGTATACGCAACTTTCAGAAGTCCATTCTCTCATTTCACCTGGGGATCAAACTTAGGTTATCAGGCTTGGGGGCAAGGACCTTAACCAGCAGAGCCATCTCATTGGCCCCATCTTAAACCACATCATCTTATAATTGAGTCTAACACTAAAGATACTATTAGTTGACAAGAGCTAACAAATGACAGAAAACTTATTAATCAATTGCTCTGAATGATATACTGGGAAAAGATAAAGTGAGACTACATGGAACCAGTTTTAAAAATATATGTTTGGTAGGCTGGGCAAGATGACAAACACCTTTAATCTCAGCACCTAGGAATTGCAATATATCTCTTAAGAGTTCAAAGCCAATAGTCTGCATAGGGAAGTTCAGGCTTGCCAGGGCTATATATACAGTGAGACTCTGTCTAAAAAGATAAGAAGGGTAAGCTGTTGTGCTGGGGGTGTAACTTGGTAGCAGACTGTTTTGCTTGTACCTGGAAGACCAGGGTTTGATCCTTTGCACCATGAGATTAAAACAAAAAATATGTCACTGACTTCAAACCTGAGGATGCATACAATTGAAGATGCAGTAGCTGTCTTAAATCTGATTTCTTACCTGTGTCTAATGCAAGGACTGTAATATTATAGATGCCATTTCTGACGGTCTCAGCCTCTCGATCCAGGGTTCGGGAAATGGAGATTGATCCTGAGTCTTCTTTAACAGCAACCCACCCTCTTGGGTCACTTAACTTCCTGTACCTATTAACCATGGTGAAGTAACACAGCAAGAAGGACCATGAGCCAAATCATAACGCCAATAACGAAAGAAGGTATGGACTTTCCTAGTGCTGTAAATGTGAAAGGAACAAGAGCATTACAAATACCTTATACCACTGCTGTGTCTATTGTCAGGGTCGTATGCCTTATACCCATCGTTTACGGTACCAACTGGTACATTTTCTCGAATCCGCACAGTTTGTGTTGAAGGGATACACTCAGGGCCCTCATCCACATCTTTCACGGTGACAGTCACTGTGGCTGTACTCATGGCTGACCTTGCACTAGCCTCTCTAGTGTACGGGGCTTCATTGGCTACGCCAATTTGCAGGGTCACCTGCTGCCGTTCTTCATAGTTCAGAGGCTACAGGAAATGTGTTGAAAAATCAGATCAAACCCTTGAAACACTGGTGAAGTTCTGAATAGTTTCGCAGTAGATCTTTGCCTGCGATTCTGTATTACAAACCACAAATACCTAATTTACTAATTAATTCTTACCTTAACCACACACAGAATGCCTTCGTTGGTTTTGGCATCTGTTACAATTTTAAAGTTTCCATCTTCATTGCCCTTTAAAATGGTGTAATTCGCTCTCCAATTAGGAGAGTTAGCTAAATCTTTATCCTGAACAGTAAGACGTAAGATTTCCACATCAACTGTATTTTCTTCTACTGTTGCCACATACTAAAGAAATAAAAAGAATAAAGCTTCATTAATGAACTTTCACCAAAAAAAAAAAAAAAAAAATCTCCAAGCCTCAGTCTTACAAATTCCAAAGCACCTTGTTCTGTTCTCATGCTTAAAACTCTAACCCCAAGCTATTGTTGTGTCACGGTGAGCATCTCATGCCAAACTGTGGGGCACAAAAAGAGATGCACACCCTTCAAAACTGACACCAAGGCATGTGCTTCTCTCTCCCAAACAGCGCACACTTACAACAGTGCGGGTGAATGTTGGCAAGTTGTCATTCGCATCTCCGATAGTAATGACGCAGGTTGCTGTTGTCTGCAGACCAAAATACTGGCCATCCATATCCTGTACTTTTATTTTCAACTGATATTTGTCAACTAACTGAAAACAAAGAAAATGTAACTGTTAGACAAGAGCAGCATCTTTACAAGAAGAACCCTGACTTCTACTCTGCAGCTCATAATTTAGGGGAACGTTGTTACGGGCTAACAGCATTTACATCTAGAAAAGGTGCCTTGCTCTCGTAATGGCAATCACTATATGACAACTGAGTCATTTGTCAAATGGGAAGTGCTGTCAACACCCAGAAGATATTATCATCAGTTAGCTTTACCAACTTCCAAAAGGGAGAGAAGCGCTGTGGTCATGAGTACATGTGATATTGCATAGCAGTGTAAAAAAAAAAAAAAAAAAAAAAAAAGTTGTATGTCCCATCCAAAGTACATTTTTATATTCACAAGTATTGTAACTTAAATGACTGCTCTTCTCCTTTCAACCTCCTTCATACTATGATTTCTGCCTCTCTCCCTCTTTTCTGTCTTTACCCGTTAGTTAACACTAGAATGCTAATGTTGAAGTCACTCACACACCCCTTTCCCAGTGCTCCTCTCCTGCCTAACCACTTAGGTTTGCAGCTACAATGACAGCTGCCTTCACCTAAGGACACTTCCAACCTCATGCTGCTATCTGCCAGGAGGCCAGCACGTTTCCTTTGCATTAAAGTGCACCGAGACTTACCAAAACCAGTAAGATGATGAGAAAACAAGGACATAGGCTTTTATTATCCTAAAATGCTGAGTTGTGTTATCTGCAGACAACAGAGAAACTCCAATATTTAAAAGGCTGAGCAACAGCTAAAAACTGGAATCCTGAGATCAAAAAAATTACCATCTTGAGAAGGTCCACTCTTTTTTTTTTTTTGACACTTCCCTATTTAATGCTACAAATACACTTCTATGAAAAATGTGATTTCATAAAGAGATAAATTTCAGGAAAGAATAACCTCAATGTTCTAAGTAAGTATGTCATTAAGTAACCACTTACCGACCTTCATCGGTATAGTAAAAACCATACATTTCCTAAAGTCGGGAACCAATCTTACTTCCCAGAAACACACACATGTGATGCTCAGAGACAGGCAGGCATGAGCATCCCTCATCTAAAGGGTCTGGAGACCAGAAGTGTTTCAAATATTCATGATTTTTAGAATACTTGAATCCACAGCACAGAAAATCTCAGTGTCAGGCCCATATTGAGACACAAAATTGTGTTACATTCATGCCTGATACACAAAGCTCCAAGGAAATTTTACACCATATTTTTAGCATGCCTGTGCTTTTTGACTAAAACCTCTCCATGAGTTTGGGTGATGAATGGTTTGTCTGTGACATCAAATCAGTGCTCAGAAAAGTTCCTATTTGGAGCCTTTCCACCTTGAGCTATTTCTGATTAGGGATAATGTATCTGTGTCCTTAAGTAGCCATATTAATCCGATAACACTTGCCACCACTCTGCCCAACTGAGGCGGCGTGCTCTTAAAAAGCCTCGCTCTAATCCAGCTTTTCTGCTGGCATTTGTTACCTCTCTGTCCAGCTGGGATGACGTGGTGGTGATCACCCCAGTAGTGGGATGCATAGAAAACAAGGTGGGTGGAGAAGGCCACTGCTCCAGGATGGAGTACCTCAGCCGAGTGTGCATTGTATCGGGCTCATCGTTGTCAGTCGCACAGACCTCCCCCACGACAGAGCCTGCAAAGAAAATGCTCCTGCTGAGTTTACAAACTCCCATGCGATTTATGTCTCTTATTTCACTCTTTTCTGCCCATCTGAAGCACTTTTTATTACAGATCAGGGTCACGGTTTGTACAAGTTAATTGATGCATGCATGCAATAACACCAATAACACTTTAGTCATGATCTGGTGACCTCAGCACCTATTTTTACCATAGTTTTGTGCGGGCTCCTATAAATGATTACACTGTCCCTCTGTGAACTCTGACCTTCTACTGAGATTTCCTAATTATTCTTAGGCTCTTTTTCTATGTGCAGGCCTGTGCTTAAATCAACACTTGCAGCCATTCTCGCCAAAAATTCTATTGGTTCAGTCAGGTCTTCCTAAGGGAAGTACCCAAAGTTGCAGCCTGACATCCAATCAATCTGGGCCTGAGGTTGACAAAACTGAGAAAATCTTTGTATTGGTCTCAGTGACTCTTGATCACGCCCAGAATACTGCCACTAGGAATTCAGAAGACACATCTCCAAATGCTGAGTGACTTCATCTATAGACGTGTGTCTTAGAAGCATTTCATTTACTCTCAGAGAAATGTAATTTATTTCTCCAGGCAATGGGATGCATGTAGTCTGTTTGATAATCTAGCCTACAGATAACCCATTCACTGGATAAGAAACTAAGAAACTGCAGCTTTTCAAATGAGGAAACCAGTGAAAGAGAAGAAACCTCCTCCCAGTACCCACATTTATGCCACCACCGTGGGCTGGTTTCCTGTGGCCACAGAGAGGCCCCATATATGAACCAAAGCCCATCCAAGCTGCCCTGTGTCGTTGGTGTGGCTACTTACCAACTGCACTGTTTTCCAAAACCGTGAAACTGTATAGCGTCTTTGTAAAAATCGGGTAGTTATCATTCTCATCTTCTACCTTAATGATGAGGGTCAGTGGGTACTCTGGTGTATACCCATCAGGAGTTAATGCAAACGCGGTCAGCTGTGAATAAAGCCAGGAGAAAGTGAAAACTGTTGTGGAGTAATTTTTTTGTACACTGTGAAGATGTATCTTTGCCAAGGCATCTTCTGATTGGTTTAATAGAGAGCTGGCTGGCCAATAGCAAGGCAGGAAGAGGTTACCTAGGACTTTAGGGGACAGTGAGGTCTCAGGGAAGAAGCAAGGGGAGTCGCCAGTCTGACAGAGAGGAAGCAGGACATGCAGGAGAGGTAAAAGCAACATGTCACGTGGCAGCATGTAGATGGAGACAAATGCGTTAATTTAAGTTATAACAGCTATTTAGGAACAAGCCTAAGCAAAGCCAAGTTTTCGCAATTCGCAATTAATAGCAAGTCTCCATGTCCTTTTTTTTTTTTTTTTTTTTTTTTTTCCTTGTGAGCTGTCGGCCTCAAGAAAATCCGTCTACAGAAAATAACCATGTTTTGTTTTTGTGATGCTGTGGACAAATTTCAGGGCCTCACACAGATCAGGCATGCTCTCTCCACTGAGCCACACCCTCAGCAATCCCTCAAATGATGCTTTAAAATACAGTGTGGCTGCAGATTGCTTTGGCTCTCATCTGTGAGACGACTCAGGCTTGAAGCATTTCTTATGCTGTCACTGATTCGGCATGCAGACATGACTGTGATGTGGAAAGACACACAGGATTCCCTGTTGATACTGATCTACTATACTCTTATGCATAGCTTTAATTTCCTCAATGTTGCTGTATGTCATCTGTAAGCATGACACTATTATGATTTACCAAAAATGTTGATTTTTATTTTGTCCTATTATTTTAGACACACAGACTTTAAGTAAAACTATTGGATATTTCTTAATTTACACTACAAATTCTTGGCACTGGGATATTATTTTATTTTCTGTAAGTATTTTAGGTGCCACCATTGCTGTCTTTACATATAACATTTCCTACAAATGTTTTCATTTGAAAAGCAGTGTTACACAGAACAAATGAGTGGCTACAGATATTGTATAAAGGGCTCTAGCGGGCCTGAGCATGGCAAACACAGTTCCAAACATGGCAAACATGGTACCCTTTCCTTCCCCTTTGTTAAAAGTTCTTAGGTTATATTCCTAAAGCTAGCCCCAAAGACCATGCCCTTGTTTGATCACTGACTCATTCCTGAGACAGAATACCATGATCCAACAATCAAAATTCATTACTTGGCTAACACATCTAATTAGGATTACCAACTCACCCTAGCACACACTCCCCCTTCTCCTTAAAAACCCACTCCTGCAGAAATACCTGCTTGCTGTTGCTGCTTGCTGTCTACCTCTGCCCAATCCAGAGGCAGCCACTGCCCCCGACATGCTTGCCCCTTGTGGGTAATAAATCTCCTTTGTGCTGAGAATATGGTGTCTGAGTGTGTCCTGTATGGACTCTGGGGCTCCCTTATAACTTATCCTTTTTAAATTAATAAGGCATATTGCAAACCTAACCAGTTTTAAAACAACTGTCATAGAAACAGCAGAACAGTATGGATACTTAGAAAGCCACACAGTAGCAACCCTAAACTTAACGCCACAACTCAGAGCTTGCATGTCCATACAGTTAGTTTGGTGTCCTTGTGAAGAAAGAACTCATTCAACATTGTGTAATAATGGAAAATGAGATAAGTAAGATGAATAAGTCCTGCTGGGAAATCAAGCCCACATGAGGTCAGGTTTTCACAGCAGAAGGACTATTCCTTTTGGGATACATTGCTGGCAGCTTAGAGGTCGAAGTGTGCCATAGCCTGGCAGCTTTCTCTATGTTCAGCAATATGGAACTCCCTCGCTCCATAGCAAGGCTTCCTGCTCTCTACCTGCCCTTCTCTGGAGAACGCCCCTGGGCTGGAGGACTCACCTTATCTGAAAGGTGTCTCTAAAGCAGGTGCCTGTCTCTAAACTAAATGCTGGTTGATCTTTATCTGTTTATTTATTTATTTATTTATTTATTTGTTATTTTACATGTAGATCCCAGTTCCCTCTCCCTCCCTTCTTTCCTCCTTCCCTCTTACTCCCTCTGCCCCCTCACATGCACCCTAACCACCCTCCCCCCCACCCCAATTCCACATGTAGACAGCTGACCTGAACAAGGAGGAGCTAACGGGCCCCCAGACTGATAGCTGGGAATCCAGCATGGGACTGACTCAGCCCCCCCCCCCCCGAATATGGGTCTCAGGTAGAAGGACTGAGCAGTCTAAGGGACCTCAGACAGTGGAACCAGTATGGATCCCTGGTGCACAAAAGGACCTTGTGCACACATCCCCCATGGAGGGATAACTGCCTTAACCTAGAGATAGGAGAGAAGTCCAAGTCCCTACTTCAAATGACCTGACAGATTTACATGACCCCACCTGGATAGAATTGCCCTACATGTGTTTGATCTTTATCTTGATGCTTGGCACAGACCCCTGCTAACAAGACTTGTGCTAAGGAGCTCTGCTGTAGGACCCTACTGCCACACATTAAGCCTTGTGATAGGACAGTGCCACTTAGTGCAAATTGGGGTTTGTCCCCAGGCTCCCCAGGCTTCCTTAGACTGTAGAATAAACTTGAGCTGATTCACTGAAATCTGTCTCCCACGGGACTGTCTCCGTTTGTGATCATGGGCCACATACAAGCTCTCTGTTACCCCTCTGCCTCTCTCCCCTCTCGACCTGGCGGCCAAGGGGCAAAGAGGTCCCACACACACTCCCATGGGAAACCCATGAAACATCTGGAAGACTGAATGAGCTTGGCTAAGCACTCCCCACCCTCCTGATCTTGCTATGATCAACTCTCCCACTACAAAGGGCTGGGGTTCAGCTAACTGCTGAGCCTCTCTTTGTTCCTGTGACACCCACATTCCACAAGAGCTTCTCTACCAAATAAATGGGCAGCCGAAGTCTTTACCCCTTTGGAAAATTAAATCAGGAAAAAAAAAAATCATAAAACCAGGAATAACCTAACAGAATTGAATTTTATTTACTTCATTTAACTTGTTTGTTTCGGGCCAATTCATGTGTAGCCAGAGCACCAATGAAAATCTCAGGGACAAAAGTAGGTAAATCGAGAGGGAGAGACACAGTTGTAGTGAGATAGTTCTGTGGCACTGACCACGCCCATTGGGGGGTGGAGCCATGGGCGGAGTGACCTGTGGAAGGAGGTCGGAGGGGGCCAGGAAAGGCGCTCTCTTTCTGGCGTGACTCGGACAGGAGAGGATCGGGTTGAATTTCCTGGTGTTCATCTGTCTAGGTTGTAAGTTACTTCTCCCTGAATAAACATCTATTCGGCCTATTTGTTTATCCTGATCCTTATTTAACCACATTACACAGTGGCTGAGGTTCATAACTGCTGTGCTGGCCAGCTTTATGTCAGCGTGACACAGGCTGGAGTCATCTGAAAAGAGGGGACCCTGGCTTAAGAAAATGCCTCCAAAGATAGGGCTGTGGGCAAGTCTGTAGGGCATTTTCTTAATTAGTGATTGACGGGGGAGGGGCCAGCCCTTTGCCCGTGGAAAGGTCCTGGTGGGATAGTGTACTGGGATCTATAAGAAAGCAAGCTGTACAAGGCTGTAATCATCTGTCCTCCACAGTCTCTGCATCAGCTCCTGCCTCCAGGTTACCGTCTGTTTGAGTTCCTGTCCTATCTGAACGTCCTTCAGGGATGGGCTATGGTGTAGAAGCATAAGCTAAACAAACCCTTTCCTCCCCCAGCTTGTGTGGTCACAATGTTTCATCACAGCAATAGAAATCCAAACTAAGACACAACATGATCTTTATACCTTACCTGGAAGGACTCATACTGCTCACGATCGACGGGACCAGTGCAATACAGGTTTCCAGTATCTCTTTCCACATAAAATAAGTTTCGAGGTTCTCTATCAACTCCTGGGCCACTGATGGAATAGTATATGGTGTAGTTTTGAGCCGTATCAGATTGGATCTAGAAAGCAGATATAAACATGAGACGGATCTTCATTTCGGCAGAATTGGCACGAGTATTTTATGCTATCACACTGCCAGTTACTAGAATAAACAATAGTCCCCTGTCTTATTCAGTATTAGAAAAATGTAGCAACAGAGTAAGAACTTATGACTTAAAATTTTTCAAAAACAAAATACTTGCAAAGTCCTATAGCAGAATTTTTTTTTAATGAAATAATATTGTGAAGACTGAACATTACATACATGAACAAAACACTTGGGACTTTTCTGTTAGAAAATATAGCAGTACAAGAGTGATTGATCCTGAGATGAAGTTGCATTTGGCAAAGTATTTTAGAAAACTGTTTTTGTCGGCTATGGTGGCATATGCCTGTAGTTCCAGCTAGGGAAAGTAGAGAAAGCAGAGCTAGGAGAGAAGGCCAATCCAAGGTTGCGGAGCAAGACCTGTCCAAAAACAAACATCACATTTTCTCTAGTTTAGGAATCTAGACTGTAGACATACACACAAATACTTGTGTGTATGTATATGTACATGTGTATATATGTATATATATTTATGTGTGTATATGTGTATATGTATATATTCCATAACCCTATACTTATGTATGTATATATACATGTAAAATATATGTAACCACTGATATAGGTCATGAAAGCAGAAGGGGGACTGGAGGAAGAAAGGAGACTGGTGGGAGAGAAAAGAGAGGAAGAAGTGAGTGGATGGGAGTGAATACGATAAAAATACACGATATGCTTGAAAGGACCTGTCTTGGTGAAACTTAACGGTGAATGAAATGAATACAAACTAAGCTACATGGAGAAAACGTGCCTCAGACTGGGAGTAGGGGAAGCCACCTGCTCTTGCCGAAGACCTGTTGGTTCCCAGCTCCTATAGCCATCCATAACTCCAGTTCTAGGGGATCTGATATCCTTTTCTGTCCTTGCCCCCAGGGCTATATGTGAGTGATGCACATAAATTCATGTAGGTGTACACACATAGATAAAGCAAACCATTGTTTGAAAAGAAATGGAATTGGTAAATGAGGACTTTTAGAGAGGATAAAAAGAGCAGCAGGATGGATATGAACTAAGTACAATGACAGATGTAAATGATAAAACAGTGACCTCACCACATCTGCAACCTCTTTTAGAAAACTAGGAGGAAGGGAAGAAACAGGCTTGGGAATAATCACTGCAAAGCCTGTCTTTCTCCTTCAGCTCTGCAATTTTAATCTCTATGGAGGGCATCCATTTTTGGATTTTATAGGCTGTGCCAAGCCTATGTGATACACTAGTTGACTTGGGGTGGGGGGGGGGAAATTAAAGAAACATGCATTAGAATGCTAAATGTACTTTACAGTTCTTATAGACTGCATGACTAAACCTGAAAAATGTGTACATATCTGTTAAGAAATACTTACACATGTATATTGAAACATGCTACTTGAGCCTTACATTCAGATACTCACATGCAACTATTTTACATCTTTTTAATTACTAAGGATTGAATCAAAGTCTTGCGCACAACAGACAAGCATTCAAGATATACTTGCCCTCACAAAGTTATTTTTAAATAACTATTAATGATTTTTTTTAAAATGGGAATGACAAATATTTGCAGTCAAAGTAAACTATACCTGCTGAAGAAACAAGGGGAAAGGACCCAAAGAATTCTCCAGCATGGAACAGGGGATAGGAGCCCATCTTCTCTTGGCACGGCTGAGGACTTTCTCTGCATGCAGTTTCTTATTTAGTACCTTGATTTAGAAGACAAGAAAGGTAAGCCTTAATTATTAAAGTCAATGATGACTTTATTCCCAGACATTAGAGCTGACACATGTATCTCTTCTCACGAAGACTGGCTAGGGAGGTGTAAACCCATGGTAGTGCTTCAAAACCAAACTAATCTGCAGAAATAATAGTGATAATGACAAAGAATACGACTTCTTGTTGTGGTTATGCATCTTCTTGAGAAAATACCTCGGTGGAAATATGGAGGAAAGAAAGATGGGCTAGAAGAACGGATACAACACTGAAAAGCAAATTCTTGCTGCCACATTGTCATGCAGGAACACAGAGGACAGAGATCCAATGAGAATGACGGGGATGGCTCATATTTAGCATAAGCAGAATCCACTCACCAGCAACTAGCCAGAGCCAGGGGACCAACAGACATCTGTCAGAACAAAGAGAGAAATCTGGTGACAGTGCTCTGACTTCACTGAAGAATGGCCAGGGACTGAGGAGAGGTTGTTTTGGTGTTTGGTGTCACAATCCATAGGCACAAACATGGCCCAAACCTCCCTTAAACTATGTCTTTTGACTGAATTCTTCAAGAAGACAAGACCCAGAGACCCCCTTTAACACAAATATACTTGAGGAAAAAGATTTAATCAAGAGATAGAGTTTCCAACCTTGTTTTTGGAAATCCATTCCAAAACTCAGAAAGTGTCTCTTGTGTCCTATCTCAAGTTCTCAGTGTAGCTTATCCCAAATGAGATGGATGACAAGTTGTAACGCCATGTGTTGCACAACCAACCCCCTCTCCTTCACTAAATACCACTGACCCATGTCTTTCATTCTACCTCCCACCCAAACTATCCCAAGTCTTCCTTGGAGATGTCAGTTAACCCTGAAGAGACAGCGTCATTACACTCCCCGCATACGATCTCATTTACCTCTGCTGGACCCTCTAAGTGGACAGATAGCTCTCTTTCTTCTTGGCTGTTCGAGTTGAAAAGCCATATAGTAAAGCTTCTCTGGCCCGAGGACAAAACAACAGAACTGGTTGTGTACACAGAACCGTCTTCTAAGACTCGGAAATCAGGATCACTCGGATGAATTAGATTTGCCGATGTAAGGCAGTCCTTCAGGTTCACTAAGGAAATACACACAGCAGGCACTTTAGCAATACAGAGTTCAAAAGTACATACAGTACGCGTGTGCAAGGGGAGCGACACACTTAAACCACATTAATATTTAGTATTTTTAAATCATATATGAGACTATGTGGATCAGGTCCTCCCTAAACACACGTACTGCTTCTAATGCTTGTTTTACACCTGTTTAAAAAGATATTTCTCCTGAACCAAAGGCATGTGAACTCTAGTATATGAACACTTGACACAACACTAAAAAAACTTCTTCTTAATTAAAATTAGCTGTTAGAGACTACAGTTATCGTAATAGCTATCATAATATGGTCACACTGGGTTGATTTCTTCTACCTTATACAACCAAGTCTTATAAAGAATTGTCAAGCCAGTAGGTGTAAGGGGGGTTGCCCTGTGTGTGTCTGTGTGTGTACACATGCACATACAAATGCACACACACTTACTTAATAAGTAAAATAAAGAATTGATTGGTGAAAACAAGTACATGGGGCTAAAGATATAGCTCAAGGTAGATTGTTTGTTCGGTGTGTGTAATGGCCTGGGTTTGATGCCAAGCACACCTAAATAAATAAATAAATAAATAAATAAATAAATAAATAATGAGGTGGAAGCAAAATGCAGTGAAATATAAAAACACTTACTGATGAAAATCCAAACACAATATTGTCAAAAACTCAAGAAATAATTTTAATGCCATTTCTCAAAACATATTTAGCACATAAAATATCCTCCGGGCAATATAAATATCAAAAGTTATGTTATTATTGGAACTTAATCTTTTTATCTTCTTTGGGTATCATATTTTTCAATAAAGATGTTTTATAAAGTGTGTTAAAAATGACGGCACTATTCACTTTTAACTGTTAATCATGAATCCCTCATGGTCCTAAACATCACAGTGACTTTTAACAAAGCACACCACATTAGGACTTATCAGACACTGCAGCTCATCTTTACCTCGGCCAACAAATTTCTCAGCAGGTAGTTCAGAGGGGACCTGAAGGGTCACTTCTTTACACGCATCGCAGGCAAGCGCAAGGATCTAGAACAAACAAAGTAGTGTCACACACTCACAGGACAGGACCTAATGAATAGAGTTTACCTAAGTCTCAACTGCATAGAAATATCCATTTAATTACATAAAAGAAACATTAAATACTTAAATATATGTTTAGTTATACAAAATTTATTTAACTTCAAATAACAAAATAAGAAATATGTGCTAGGAATCCGAAATATATGAAGGAGCTGGACCAAAGGGTAACAGGCCCCCTTGGCTCTCTTCTTTACAAGCCACTGTATGCTCGGGCACCACATCCTTTCTCAGAACTGTTTTTGTTTGGTAAAATGAATTTCCTAGTATCGTCACTGACTGGGACAGCAGAGTGAGGACCACCAGCACCATGTAAGACTGTACCAAACACACATAGGAAAGAGAAAAACATAAATTCACCATCCCATCACACTTGTTTCCACAAACGTTCACTATCCCAGGAGCTACAGAGCCAAAGCAATAGTCTGCTGAACCAAACCTGGGTACCATTACTGAAAGGCACTGTGGCTGCCACGGGAGGGGTGGGCAAGATCTATGTATGAGATTACACAAACATGGGATGTTATTCTGAAGACACACCTTCTCACTGACAGCTAAGGCCATCGTAGAGAATACTTTAAATGATTTAGTGATCTACCAAGAGCCAATTCCAATTGGTCACTCATATGAAAACCCAAATTTGTTTCTGTTGTGAACCTTTTCTGTGGGTGCTTCTTAAAGTTGTCAGTTCCGTTTTCTTCATTTCACCAAAATGGTTGACCAAAAGCAAGGAAACCAACCAGCACTATGCTGAAATCTTTCTTAATCTAGCTGTAGTTATCCAATTTAAACTACACAGGAGAGAGATCCAACAAGGCAGAGGTCATATTTTCTTTGCAAAACTGAAATAGCCCTGCCCCCCCCACAAAAAAAAGAAAAAAGAAAGAAAGAAAGAAAGACTTAAATTGAAAGTAAAAGAAGGGACTTTTCACAGGCTGCTTAGCCAAGGGAGCAGGGACAGAGCCAGACGTTTTAAAGACTGGAGCTCAAGGAGACTGACAAAGAATATCTCATTCACTCAACTAACACTTATCTATTCAACCACCAGTCAGGGATAAGGAGGTGCTAAGCTGACTCACAGGCCCCAGAAGTGAGCAAAGCAAAGACCTTGCCCTCAACAGATTGTGTTGCAATGAGCCAATGAACAAATAGACAAGTACACAAATGTCACACCCCACCAAGACAGATAGCAGTTAGCAGAGAAAGATGATAGAGAAGGCTGGAGTCTAGATGAACTGAGGGAACAACCAGTTCTATACTTAAAGAACAGTCTGGAACTTATTAGTTAGGATGTAAAGGGACATGGTGAGAAATGCAGGTTTTGTTTGCAAAGGAAAGCAACGCACCATGGAGCTGCAGAGTGGCCTTATCTGGTGCTCACAAGCAGCCAATCAGCTGACTACATGGCAGCAAGTCAGAAGACAGCTGGGAAGGGGCCAGGATAGCAACTGTAACAGTGTAGCAGCATTCTAAGGAAGACTCATACTTGCTCTGAAGTCTTAGTGGTATAAGTGTTGAAAGGCCCAATTAAGAATTGGCCAAGAACTAGAAACCATGTCCCTGACCTGCATTCATTCATACATTCAACAAATTTCACTAAAGCTCTATCTACTATATAGTAGACACCTAGCAGGAAACATGATCTGCATGAAAATTCAACCCCAGGATAAGACATATTTGTAAGCTCAATACAGTATGGAAATGCCATGGCAGGGAAATACAGGCTGGTAGAGGGCAGCAGGGAGAGTCAGCCTCATCCAGGAACCAGATGAGATTAACTAAGGAGAGGCCATGAGTCAGTCACGATAGGAGAAGGACAGAAACCTAAATAGAAATCTATCATACAGTGGTTCTCAACCTGGGGGTTTCATCTACTTTAGGGGGTTGAGTGACCTTTTTACAGGGTCGCTTAAGACCATTTGAAAACACAGATATTTACATTATGATTCATCACAGTTGCAAAAGTACAGCTATGAAGTAGCAGCGAAAATAAATTTATGGTTGGGGTCATCGCAACACGAGGAACTGTATTAAGGGGTCACCACATTAGGAGGGTTGAGAATCACTGCTGTAGTGACTGATACGTGTAGCACAAGGAGAAAAAAATGAAAGTGATCCTGAAGAGGAAGTGTGAACACTTTCTGAATAATGTCAACAACCTATGTGCACTTTCTTTCACACATTCTAAGGAGCTGCTATGGTCTGCAAATGAGCTGGGACCACAAAGGCATGCTTTCTGGGTGATACATCCAATCCATGACAGGTAACTGGATGGGGTGGGCTTCACTTAATCGATAACCATAAATGAACATTTCATTGAATGTCATTGTTAGGAGGTGGTAGAAAGTCTGTGTTGGCTCCTGATTCACCTAAGGAGGTCACTGGAGGTGAGTCTGTGAATGGTGGAACCTGTCCTGCCTCCTTCCTGTTTTCCTTTTGGCTTAATGCTTGCCAAGAAATAAACAGCTTTCCTCCACCATGACTTTCATCCATGATGTTCCTGCCTTGCACGAGCCTAAGAGCAATGGCATCAGTTAAGCACAGACTACGGCTTTGTAAAATTCTGAGCCAAAATACATCTTCTTTCCTTTAACATCTTTTTGCTGGATGTTTCTCAGAGCACTGAAAAAAGTGACCACCCCAAAAAGAAAAGATTTGTCCGCAGTAAATAAACTGCCTAAGCAGGTTTCTATTAGAGCTTGCTAAGTCTGAACACTGGGGAGAAACAAATCGGGGGAAAGAACTTTCATTTCAGTGAAGACATGAAAGAAAACTCAGGGGATGTCATGAGAAAACTAACTAGCAATGATGAGCATCATGATTTTGAAACATCATACAGCATCAAAGAACTGACCAAAGTAGCAAAGAATTGAAGGGCGTGGTGTACAGATAAGAATGAAACACCGACAACAGGAAAGAAGAGTCAGAACTAACTTCTGACCTGCTCAGATAGGCTCTGGTTTGTTGGCCTCAACAGAGAGGGAGGGAAATGAAACATGAGATACACCTACAATGTACAGAAAGCTACTCCCCATTACACCTGCCATAAGAGATAGAGCCACTGTTAATGTGGCCTTTGCATGGGTCTAAGATCCGCATTCAAATCCATGGCGTGAGTAAACGAATGTCTCGTATACTATTAGCACCATGCCACAGGGAAAGCATGGGAGGCAGCCTCACTGTGGCGGTTCCTCCTCAGTTGACTTAGTGGACACACACACCCCTGTCTATGTGTATGAAGACATCTCCAAGAGGTTTAAGTGAAGAGGGAAGACCCATCCTGAATGCGGGTGAGCCCATTTCAAGGGCAGGGGTGCGGGAGGAAGCAGGCTGAATGCCAGCACCCATGTGGTCTAATCCCAGATGCCTCACTCCTCTGCCACGACGTTCCCACCAGGAGACTGTAGCCTCACACTAGAGCCAAAATAAACTCTTCCCTTAATCGCTTCTCGTCAGGGATCTGTCCACAGCAACCAGAAAAGTAGATGATATCATCACCAAACCCAGAAACATAATAGGTTTTCCAAGGTCACCAAAGGTGCTTCAAATCATATCGAAAAAAAAAAAAAAAAAAACTTATACAAAAGAGCTAGAGCTTGCCAAGAGGGAAAAATAAAAATATCTCTATTTGCATTTGCTTTGACTCTGTCTACAAAACTGAAGCAAAGCAATCAATGAATTGCCATTCGAGAAACAGCTGCTAAAACACAGTTATCACTACTCTTCCTGTCCATAAATGAAACCAGCCATATAGTATAAAAGAAGTTGCTTTCTAAAGCAATGAAATGTGTGGAAATGCCAGGAAGTAAATTCAGTATGACGCCTACAAGGCTGACTGCCCTCTGCTTCCTGACTGTGGGCACCATGCTCTCCTGCATGGCTTCCCCTGAAAGACCTGCCTATTTCAGGAAAAAAAAAAAAAAAAAAAAAAAGCCAAACACGTTTCTGCGAAACAGATACATAGATTTACACAGAAAGAAAAGTCCACAGTAAGAAAAATCAGCAACATACATACATTAATCCTAAATTAAATTATAATTTTATGACCCCCATAAAATCTCAACACAGTATTTCCTGGAGCTAAATGAACTGAATCGCAGGAAAATATATGAAAAAGAAGAACAAGGATATGTAGACATTAAAAGCAAATAAACAAGACCATGTATCAGTATGTGCATACAAAAGTATTAGTTACATGATTTACGAAGGACAAATACCATGCCTGCCTGCACCTGTTCTATTTACAGTCACTTGTCACTGATAGTTTTTTTTTAGTTTTCTATTCATCGTATTCTTGCCTACATAGCATGTTTTCAAACACTGTTAAGTGTGAAAAGGTATTTCAATGTTGCTTCTACCTCATTTTTCTTTATATTTCTTATATTTTAATGATTTTTTTTACTTCTAGAATTTGTCTTGTCCTTGTTGATACAAGAATTTTTCTTCACAACTTACAAGAACCTTTTAATGTATTATAATGGCCTTTAAAACGGCTTATGCTCTTATGTTTGGTTTCGTTTGGTTTTATTTTTGTGTTCTTAACTTTGGAGATTCTGTTTGTTTTTATATTGTTGCTTTTCCCAACTTGGAAAAGTTGAAATCTGGGTCACAGATAGGCTTTCTTACCTGAAAATTTACAGGACTCACCATCTTTCTTTGGTACCCACATGGTGTCCCCTTGCATTTTAAGTTCGTCTACTTGGAGCTTCCTGTGGTGTTTTGCATCAAGTATGGGTTCCATTTTGTCTTTTGCAAAACTTCTGCCTAGCTCAAGTAGCCTCAAAGTCAATCTCAATAATTCTTACACTGATGCTGTTCTTAAAGATGCTACAGTGTTTCTCAACACTCCTAATGTTACCACCTTTAATACAGTTCAGGTTGTGGTAACTCCCAATCATAAAATTATTTGCATTGCTGTTTCATTACTGTAATTTTGCTACTGTGATGAAACACAAATGTAAATATCTGCGATTTTTGGATGGTCTTTGGGTTTCGACCCACAGGTTGAGAACCACTGATGTAACATGACATCAACTACTAAATGGCTTTCTGTCTAGCCCTATACAACCTGTTTCGAGAGGACAACAGGTCCAAAATAAGAGTCATTGGCTTTGTATTTGTCCTTTCCAATTCTGGCACTCCCCACCACAAATATGCCTGCTCATGTATGACCGGTACACAGCCAAGTTTATCCACTGAGACATTCTTAGGGAGAACAAAAGCCAACAGCAGAAGCTATAGATACCAGCAAACAGACCCATGCAATATCTTTGAAGATGAACTTATTTCGACAATAAAGGATTAAGAGGAGTAATGAGGAGAAAGAAGCTTCTAGACTTTTCCATGAGGATCAAGACACACAGGAATTCTATTTATTGAAATCTTTGACAACAAAAGAAAAACATTTTGGAATATAATAAATGGCACACTACAGAACAGGTATGTAGAAATAGAAAGTCTTGTTTAAAAGTGATGTCTGAAAAAGCTATGTGAATTTAGGATAATGTGATATTTTAAAGAATAAAGTAGATGAAATTACCTCGGGGGGGGGGGAGGAGAGATATGTATAGACATTCTAGGAAACAAGGCGTAGAATAAGGCTCTCACAGAAAATTAGCATTTGCAAGTAAGAAAAAGAGTGGCCAAACAGACAAAAGTAATAATCAGGAGGTAGTGGGAAGAGGAGGCTCCGCGACCTAACAGCTACACAGTTTGTGTTGTGTAAGGCACAAACGTCCAGAGAGCTATTGTGCAGCATTGTGTCTGCAGTTAATTTTCTCTTACTGTGCACTTAAAACCCCGTCAAAACGGAAGATCTCATGTTATGACTTTAACTCATACACAGAACAAAAAGGGGTGGGGGGGGGGAAGAAACAAGTTAATGAGTCAGATTCTGAGGGTCAGTGAGTTTTTTCTAAGGTGTTCGTTTCCAGAACAAAGAATCAACCATAGAGTAGAATTATGTGAAGAATAGAATGTATCACTTGAACTTGACAAGGGAGATCCTAGAAGGCTGCAGAGAACAAAGCGCCATTGGGGCATTCAGGAAGAAAGTTCCAGTGGTTAAGACACTATGGGGTGGGGCGGTGCTAGGAAGTGGAGAGGAGCTGACTTGTGGAATGTCAAGGGTTTACCTGAGTGTGTGGGAAACAGAAGATGTGAAGAGGGCTACACCCCCAAAAAAAGGTATTCTTCTTCAGCAGACCTCGAACTTCTCACGCTGGCGCAGCCCTGTTCACATGCACCCAACTGGAGCTCAGAGCAACCTGAGGGGACTCACACCACACTGCCCTACTTGAAAGCAAAATGCCAGTAACAAGAATAACCCACCCCCACCCTGCCCAGCCCCCATTCCTGGGCTCTGAAGTTAAGAGAGATTGGGAGTGAGGATTTCACTTCAGCCTAACTCACCCACAGCTTCCACTCCTCTTTAAAGGGTCTGAGGCAAGCGCCTTTAAGGTGTGCGGGTTTGCACTGGGCAAGGCTACGCCACACAGTTAACTAAGCATGCCTTTTCTTTCAAAGAATAAGGCCTGCCTTATGAAAGGAAGTGGCAACTTCTCTCACTAGATACCAAGCAAAGTTCATTCTTTGTCATCGGCAGCATATTTTTGTGACTGTTGTTTGCCCTAGGCTGTTTCTTCAGCCATAAAATGTTGATTGTGAGGTACCTATCCCTACCTGGGTTCATGAATTGCCCCTGGAAATTGTGATCAAAAGTTTAAAGTCCATTCATTCCTTGAAACTAAATCCAGTAACCAACCACATTTTCAATAACTAAAAACACAGGAATCCCTTGAAAAAGAGAGAGAGACGCCCTAACACACACACACACACACACAGAGGAGAGAGAGGAGAGAGAGAGAGAGAGAGAGAGAGAGAGAGAGAGAGAGAGAATACCCAGTCTTCCTTCTTCACAGACAGCTTGAGCCTACCACTGCAGGCTAAGACATAAAGGACACTAGCAAGTTGGTTGCTCTTTGGAACTTTTCCTTGTCCAAGGGACCCATATAAAACTACAATCTGGGGCGTTTTTTATCCCTGACTTTCCAAAGTCCTACTCCCTGGGGTGATTCTCCAGTCTTCTGGCTTCCTGGAGAGATCCAGTCCTGCCCCAAATAAAGGAGGCACTTTTTTGCCTCCCACCTCACAGAGGTCCTGGCTGTTTTTTCTTCTTAAAGGGGAATCAATCTGAGCAGACTTGAGATGAAGAATCCAAACTCCTCCCAGGACAAGATCTCAGAGACAGGACGTTCAATTTTCAGAGATTAAGGGGACCAGTGGTCACCTCTGTCTGCCCATCTCAAGTTCAGACTCTATCTCTCTCCTTCATTCCAACTCTCACAGCTCTCTCGAATCCCAACCCTAGCCCAGAACCCTCAAGAGCAACAAGTCCTTTTTTTGACCCCAAGGACACCATACTGGCTTTCAGTGTCGCCCCCTGGACAGTTGCCCTCAGTCAGGATGGCGGGCATCCAGGGCTCCAGTGACCTGCTCCAGACCCGGCACAGCCCGGCGCACCCCGCTCTGCCCAGGGAACCCCGAGGCCAGGTTTTTGGCTGGGTGTTCGCGATCCGCCCCCGTCTCCAGCCGCGCGTGCCTATTACTGCTCGCAGCCGCACTCCCTCCCCTGCGGGACTTTGGCGCCCGGGTCGCTCAGCTTCCTGCCGCCCTCCCTCGCCTCCAACAACTGCAGTTTAAGACGCGGCGAGACCCGGTGACCCCACCTGGGCCAGCCGCCCCGGCCCTGACGTCCCTCTCCCCGTCCCCGGGATGGTCCCCGGAGCTCACCGCTAGGGTCAGTAGGTGCGGAAGGCCAAGGGCTGGACTCCGCGAGCGCACAGCTCCTGCAGCCGCCATGGCCAGCCCAAAGGACAGGTCGCCGCCCCGCACCCGCTGCGCAGAGGTGAAGCGCGCACAGGCGCTTTTCTCGCGCTTGTCTGATGCTCCCGCCTCGCTCCCGAGGGGCTTTTCCTCTGGACGAGGGTGGAGCTCCAGGCAAGTCCAAAAGACTCCAATTGGCCACTCCTTGTTATTTTTCTTGTGTCTTCATGGCTTTAAGAACTCAACCGGTGGGAACTTCCTCTCACCGCCACCCTTTCACCTGTACTAGGTGTTTCTCACCAGCAGACGCCACCTATATGTCTCTTGTCACCCCCACTCCCCCACCCCGCCCCGGTGGCCGTCTGGCAGGATTAGCAGCTGGCCCTGCCCAGCAGAAGCCCTGACTGTACTAAGAGTCACAGGAGAGTTCTGGCTCTAGCCCCGCCCAGCGCACTGCCCACTGCCGCTGGAGGTCCCTGCCCTGGGGGGTCACTCCCAGACCCACAACTGCCCTGGATCAACTGGCTGCGTTACTCACAGCTACCTGAGACCAGCCTGATAAGAGGTGGACTCGAGGAAATTCTATTGTGTGAAACAAAGTCCCACAGACAGAAGGGTAAATACGGTCCAGAAATTACGTAGATAAACAGTGAGTGACACAAGTTCTATGATTTAAAGAGAAAAGAAAGGCAGAGGGAGAGGGAGGGAAGTAGATGGGGGAAAGAAGAAAGGAAGGAGGGAAAAAAGGAGGAAAGGAAGGAAGGAAAGGAGGAAGGAAGAGAGGATAACAAAACCAGTTACTACAGAAAACACATCAACTGAGGCCCAGCCATCAGCTAAATGTGGGCTACTGATTTTCTCTAAGAACCTTGTTATATATGAACATGTTTTCTTGTGATTTTCTCCTGAACATCTCCCACATGGGAGTCCCGAGCATCCTGGTACCAATTACTTTTCTCTGTGCTGTCATTGGGATTAGGGTTCATGGTGAAAAGTGAAGAACAGGACAGTTAGCGTTCTGACTTGTCATGCACTTAAGCCTGTGAATTACAGCAGCACTTAACCAGGAAGCCTGAGCTGGAGAGCTTGTGCTTTACACTCCCCAGAATGGGCTTTCTGACTCACCCTTCTGCACCTCTTCACAAAGACGCCAAGGAAGTTTCACCAGGAACACAAATGTGTCCCTTCCCTGTTATCTACCTTAAAGACAACTGCAGAAAACAAGTTTGAAGACAGGACCACAGCACTCGACGCCAGTTCAATTATCAAAAGTGTTTGCCTGCTATGAGCAGACCCAGAATGGTGGTAATAGCAATCACATGTTAAACTCAATGTTAAGGTCTAATGGTAAATGCCCTGTTGTTTTCTGTTAACGAATACTACATAAGTTGAGTGTTCTGTTGCCTCCATAGCCATAGAAGTATCAGCAATTGCTAGTAAAAATAAACCTGGGTCATGAGTCTGAGTGTCATGCTTTTGTTTTCTTACTTCTTGACCTTCATTCATGTTTGCCCAGTGATGATTTCATAAGTGCCAATCAACTCATTGGTGATGACATCACAGTGCCAAGCTCCAAGCTTGCCAGAGAGCACAGAAGCCAGCTGGTTTTGGCATCACAGCTCTTAACAATGGGACATTGCAAAACTCTTGCCTACCTTCGGCCTCCAATGCCTTTGGGATGGCTCATGCTTTTTCTCATTCCAGAAAGGGGTAAGAGAGCAAACAATCTGAAAATTCATCTCAGAGATACCAGATAACAGAAGCTTATAAAATGGGGATTTTTATTTGTTCATGAAAATTTACTCAGGAGATTAGATGAAATTCATATATTCTAAGTAAATGTTCTATCTTAATGGATTAGACTAACTGACCATTTTAAATTCCTCCTTGAAGCAGTTTTGAAACATTTTACCATGAAAGTGTGAAAGGTGTATGTAAGGAGTAAAGTTTTTCCTCCTGCCGCTTGTCTTGTCCTGCCGCCACGCCAGCCCCAATTAACATACCGAGACTCTGTATTTGATATAATGCTGTTGCCCAGTTACTTGTTTCTTATCAGCTAGCTCTGTCTTAAGTATTAACCCATTTCTGTTAAATATAAGTACTTCCATGTGCTCTAATCTTACCGGGGAATGGGGCAGGCATCTTGTTTCCCCAGTCTCTCCATCTTGACTCCTCCTTACTACTTCCTCTTTCCTCCTTGTCTCCTAGTCCCTCCTATCTTCCTTTCCTATTGGCCAACAGTGCTTTTTTCATTAACCAGTATGAGAAACATATATACAGAATGACATCTCCCATCAGATTTAGATAGATGTGACTTTTTGAGAATGTCATTTGGCTATGAACATTACCTCTTCAGACATATGTCAACTGTCCATTATTCTAGCACAGAATCAAAAGTTGGGATCAACTTCCTGTCCATCTTGTCCTGCTTTAAGAACTCCTCAAGCACCAGCATTTGGTAAGAAAAGTAATCCTATGGCACCTCTTCCATCTAAGACTAAATCCCTGAACTGATCCTGAGAGACTTACCCAGAGACAGCTAGAGACAGAGGTTGGTTACACAGATATCAAAGGCTCTTTAAAGAGAGGAGAGGAAATCAAAAAGGCTGAAAAACACTTAAGAAAGTGCTCAATAACCTTAGCTATCAGGGAAATGCAAATCAAAACAACTTTGAGATACCATCTTACTCCTGCCAGAAACACCAATGACAACATTTGCTGGAGAGGATGTAGAGAAAGGGGAACACTCCTCCACTGCTGGTGGGAGTGCAAACTTGTACAGCCATTTTGGAGATCAGTATGGTGGTTCCTCAGGAAAATGGGAATCAGTCTACCACAGGACCCAACAATCCCCCTCTTAGGCATATACCCAAATGATCCATATCCATGCAATAAAGACATGTGTTCAACTATGTTTATAGCAGCATTATTTGTAATAGCAAGAACCTCGAAGCAACCTAGATGTCCCTCAACTGAAGAATGGATAAAGAAGATGTGGCACATTTACACAATGGAATACTACTCTGCTTGGGGTGGGAGGGATGGAATCTTGAAATTTGCAAGCAAGTGGATGGAACTTGAAGAAACTATCCTGAATGAGGTAACCCAGTAACAAAAAAGAGAAACATGGTATGTGCTCACTCATATATGGATTTTAAACACAAAGGAAAGGATCACCAGCCTATAATTCATACCACAAGAGAAACTAGGATACAAAGAGGATTCTAAGAGATTCATATAAGGTCCCTCACCGAAGAGGAAAGGGACAAGATCTCCTGAGCATATGGAGAGTGGGGAGGGGGCAGTGAGTGGAGAGGGAACTGGGAGAAAGAGAAGGGGAGGAGAGGAAAGCATGTGAGACTAGGAAGATTGAGTCAGGGGAGGAATAGACGAGAGAAGAGAGACAAAGACAGACAGAAAGAGAGAGAGAGACCATAAAAGAGGGAGCCATTATAGGTTTGAAGAGAAAACTGAACCTAGAGAAATGTCCAGAGACCTACAAGACTGACTTCAACTAATAATTTGGACAGTGGTAGAGAGGCTACCATAAATGCCCTTCCCTAATAATGAGATTGATAACTTACTTATATGCTGTCCTAGAACCTTCACCTAGAAGCTATCGGAAGCAGAAGCAACACACACAGCTAAACACTGAGCCGAACTAGAATCCAGATACAGAGAGGGAAGACAAGACCAGGCTACGGAAACCCACAGAGAGAGCTGACCTGAACAAGGAGGAGCTAATGGGCCCCCAGACTGATAGCTGGGAATCCAGCATGGGACTGACTCAGACCCCCTGAACATGGGTCTCAGGTAGAAAGCCTGGGCAGACTAAAGGACCTTGGACAGTGGAATCAAGATGTATCGCTGGTGCACAAAAGGACTTTGGGAGCACATTCCTCATGGAGGGATACTCCCTTAATCTAGAGACAGGAGAGAAGTCTCCAAATGACATGACTTGACAGATTTAGATGACCCCTCCTGAAAGGCATCACCCTACATGTAGAGTGGGGGGCAGGTGGGAGGAGAGGGTGGCGGGGGCATGAGAGAGTGGGAGAGAGGGAAAGAGGCAGGGAGGGAGGGAGAGGGAACTAGGATCTATATGTAAAATAAAAAGAAAAAAGAAAAAAAGGGGAAAAAAAGAGAGGAACAATGGGGCAGGGCGTTGGTGGCGCATGCCTTTAATCCCAGCACTTGGGAGGCAGAGGCAGGAGGACCTCTGTGAGTTTGAGACCAGCCTGGTCTACAACAGCTAGTTCCAGGACAGTCTCCAAAGCTACACAGAGAAACCTTGTCTCAAAAACCAGAGAAGATTGAAGGGAGGGGGGGGAGACAATGTACAACTTGAACTCCAGAGCCTACTCTAGCTGATAGTTTCACAGCATTCTAGTTTCACACTCTAGGAATTAAATTCGCTGTAGTAAATGAGCAAGCAAACAAAAATCCCACTTACACAAACTTACCTGCCACTGAGCAGGTTAATTCTTGGTAGATCCCCACCTCTACCTCCCACCATTGCCAGAGTCTATGAAACAGAAACCTGTGGATGAATGTGGCTTTTAGGACTCTGTCTATCCAAGGTGTGTCCCTAACACAGAATTGGCAGCGATTATGACCAAAGGTAGAAAATAAAACAAGATTTGAATGCACTGATCAGATCTCAGAGATGGACGAAGAGAGTCAATCCAATGATAACAACAAGGGTACAGCTCTTCTCTGCCCAGAGTTGTCCTAAGTATTAAATGATGTGGTGTATGATACACTTGGAATAAACACTCTAAATGTTCCTCAAGTCCATCAGTGTCTGTTATTATGGGCTTCTCCACATGGTGCTGCCCCATCTTGGGCCTCTTACATCACGTGCTCCATTTCATTCTTGTGACTGTCCCCTGATTTTCTACTGCTTCTGAAGGAGACTCTCCATTTGGTGTATGACTAGGTTCAAATGCTGATTCACTCATCACTTGTAATCCTTCAGCCCCTTCCCAGCAGCAAGCAAAGACTTTCATTAGTGTCTGCCACTTAACTATACAGAACTAAAATGAGGTTGTATAAGGTTTTTACTTTTTGAAATGTTCTCTTTTTTTCTTTTGGAATTACTTTTATTTTATATTGTTTTTGAGATCAAGATACAACAATAAATACATCTGTTACTCATGACGATGTCTAACTGATGAACAATATTCTATAAAACAAATAGGAAAATGTTCACCAATTTTAAAAAATGAATTATTTTGTAACACAAGTGGTCCATTTTTGCATTTCTGTGTATTCTCTTCTGATTGTATATAGACTTCCCCTTGTGCCTTAGA